TCAAATGGGTACGGCGGGTTGAAATATCTCTCTTATTCACCCCGGTACCCCATTGTTTTTTGTCGCCATCACATTGAACACATCATTCCCCATATCTTCAAATTTTTTCAAATTTTTCTTGAGTTCCTAGGGGGTTGAAACGTTCAATTTAATCAAAACTCCATAAGAGGCCGTGTATAAGACTGATTTTGTTTATTTAATTTCTCGATATCCATAAGTTCTAAAATTTTAAAATTGTCACCGATGTTCACCATCTGTCTAATACTATTAATTAAAAAAATTATAACTTTGTTGGTGAATGTCAATTTTTAAGGTCATCGCCAAATTCACTTGGCACCCTTAAGATTTCAGATGGCAAAAAACGTCTGAATCTTTAAAAGTGTCGGAAAACTGATGTCTGAAAATGTCAAACACCGCTTGTGTCTGAAACTGATGTCTGTATCTTACTTTCAGACATCTTGGTGCCTGAAATTGAAATACCTCCATTGATTCAGACACATTTTAATGTCTCAAAAGTGTCTACAAAATCGTCCCAAAAGTGTTTGAAAAGTGTCTACAAAAGTGTCTGAAATTCAGACATTAATTTTCGCAGTATTATTGTTAACGAATGGATTTGCTTGAAGACAAGAGTCTATTTGGTCCCACCAAATGTTTATTCGTTAATAGTTAACAAATTCACGTTTGAGGAGCCTTGTTTGACTCGATTTTCACTTTTCAAGTGAACCATTCGTTAACTATTAACGAATGTTCATTTGGTCATATTCAATTCTAACATTCGTTAATATTTCACAAATCTCGTTTGGAATAAATGAATCAGTCTATCAGTGTATGAAAAAATCTTATATAAATTTTCCGTACGGATATTTTTTACATAAATTATTTCTATACGATTTCTATAGGTTTGATCCTATACGATCCACTACCACATGTATAGAATCATTTCGTTTGGAATTGCGACATTTCTCCACCTTTTTCTCTTGAGCGTTTAGACACCTTTCGTATGAAAACAAAAATTTATGCAAAAATTTATGTATAGAAATAATTCGTATAGAAATATCCGAATACCATATACGGAAATCCTATAGAATGTCTATACGCAATCCGTATAGAAAATTTCTATACGATTTTTTCATTCGTCGACTTAGCTCCCAGTTGAGTTTTTGTTGACCAACTCGAAATTTCAGAAAGATAGCAAAATTTTTGTACAATGCTTTTCGATAGTCTTCCCTTTTCATTACAAAAAAGATTTTTAGGAAAATTGTGCCAACTCCTTCAGAATTTGAGATATTCATCGAGAACTGGCGCTAGAATGGAATTGCCTTAAACCGTCCGACCGCGTCCCTACTGAATTAAATTTCTTCACTCGACAATCCACATCAATTCGATCGATCATTGTCATCTGTTCTCCATCCACCTGTCGTCAACAACACCAAAAACCCAATCCCCAACCCTCAATTCAATCCCAAAACTCCCACTCGAATTAAAAAGTAAAAATTCTCCTGCCCCCAAAGTAATCTCTCTCCGCCAAAAGCACGAGACTTTCCCATCGCATTGCGATATTACTCCAGAATAAATGAAACAATGAGGAAGAAATGAAACAATCCCAAGATCGATGAGTGTAGCAGCGAATGCCTGGCATAACGCTGGTTTATTCAAGCCATAATTTTCATTTCTCCAGGTAGTGAAAAAAAAAACGAGAAGTAAGCCAGGTGGAAGGAGCTGAATTTTCTTTGACCTGAGGCTTATCGCTGCTCGACTCGCATAACGCGTTTATAAGCACGGGTCAAAATGAACGTCATGACGTCGCGTGCGGCCAAGGTCGTTTGTGAAAAAGGAGCCAAGCCCACATTTTTAAGTTTGACCCTCTTTCCTTTTTCTCCACAACTCGTCACCATTTCTTCTCGACAATCCCTCAAAATTCAGACATCCGCACACCGCATCCCCGATCCTATTGTTTAATATTGCGAGGGCGGGGCATTTCCAGTGGCTCTGAAAATGAATAAATGATAGGTACCGAAGAAAATGTGCGAGACGCTAGTGTTGATGAGGGACTCTGGTCGGAGTAAACGAGGCAAAAGTCAGGGTGGATATCGATTAGATGGAAAATCCCTTCGCGTGACCAAGTGGTGAGCTGACTCCCCCAGGTCCTTCTTACACTTTACCCTCTCCCTCTTGTAGCATTATAGCCGACTTTAGTGGCTATCATAACGACTGACCAAGCTCGGACCTCGGGTATTGCTCAGTTGGCGACCGCAATTCCTATTTGGAGGGTTTGGAGGTACCACTCGGTGCTAATGCGTCTCAACGCAAATGGACGATTTCCTCTGTCCGGGAAGTGCTCCCCTGGGGCTGATAATCATGGAAAGCGTAAGGGTATTCGATTATTGGAGAAATCGGGGGTGAGGAGGTATCTGGGGGCGGAGGAGGGATTGTCACCGAAGGGTCTTCTGCCGCCGTTGGGAGTCGTTGATGGTCAACATCTGGTGTTTACTGTTGATAGTATTGTGGAGGCGAGTGGACCAGTGATGACGGGGCAGCAGGAGAAGCTCACGAGGGTGGGACGGTTCAGGAAGTGGAAGAGTTCGGTGATTGAGCGGTGGCGGCAACGCTGGAGGTCCGCCAGGATGGGGTGTCTTGGGGGGCGCAAGGGGAAGATTAAACAGCAGATGCAGGGGAGCAATTTGGGACGGACCAGTGGACGCAGCAATCCAGGGGGTAATGAGCTCAGCAGGTGTGCTAGGTTTAGGGCCACTTTCTGCAGGTAATTAATACTCTGATTCATCTTGGCTTCCGGATATTAGACGATTTCGTTGATTTTTTTTTGGCACCATTAGTTGGCATGCTGTAGGACAATCAATCGTCAATCGTTATCGGAATTTTGTTTTTGGTTGATTGCTCGGTTATGACGGACACGAGGGACTCTAGGGGAGAATGAAGAGGGGATTTTGCTATAGATGGGATAGACACCCACCGAAAAATGTCTCGTGACATTTACTGGTGACGGTTTAGCACTGGTTTGCGCAGCATTTTGGGGGTTTAATTGGAATTGTTGCATTGTCTCTAGGGGCTTCAGGTGGGGCTCGAAGGTAGGGCCGTCAGAAGCCAACACCTGCTGTCGGCCTGAGGGTACTTGTGGATTTTTGTGCTACTGCAATTGGTGCAGACTGCCGAGGTGCGAGTGCTGTCGACGGTGCAACTGCTGCAGGCGATCCAGTGATGATGAACGATCGAAAAATATACGTGCCAAACACAGTCTGACCAGTGTTGCACCTCCACCACTTTCAGAGGTAATTTAATCCATAAAATTGAGGGGCGGAGGGGAGATTGGTGGGGGGTGATAAGGGCGAAAATATACTTGGGTGCTAGTTTGGTGGAATATCTTGGAGCTAGGGAGGTTTAGGAAAATTCTTCGTCAGAGGTTTTCTTGGGGGAGTTTTTAGGGAGAGCGAGGGGCTAATAACTCCAAGGTCGAGTGACACCATGACTGCAGACTGCAGTCGATTTCACCTGACGACATCAGTGATTTCAGTGACTGCATTGAATTCACGATTTCATTGATTTCAAGCATGATTTCCAGTTATTTCATAACTCATCATGATTTCATTGACTCTGTTCGACTGAAATTAATGATTTTTACGTAATTGAAATCACTGAAAACTCAATGACCGGAAATTGAAAGGATAATCGAGATCAAATAATTATTTATCAAAACGTGTTAGAAATTACAATGAACTTAACACACTTCTTCCTTTTTTTTGGTTAAATGATAGAAATATAAACGTTTATTAATTAAAGATAAAGATACAAAACATTTCAATCGGATTCGACTTTCTCTTCTCAACTCGCTCAAACGTTGGAGGTGAAATTGGTTTTCGATATTGTTTAATATCAACATAGCCCTGAGACGTCATTGGCTGCGACAGTAACGTATCTGAATTTGGTTTTAAAATGTACCAACAACACAAAACATCTATATCTCTTTTGTTACCATCAACACGCACGTATGAACCAGAAAATTCTTGAACCAAAAATTTTAGAACGAGTGTAGAGCGTGGTGTATTTTCGGTCGAGGGATTCCCTCGTGATTTCATGGATTCATTGGCTGCAAATGATTTCATTGTGACTTCAAGAAATGACTCCCTGAATGGGAATAACGAGATTTCTATGATTTCACTGATGTCAGCGATTTCAGTGATTTCATGGGTGACTCCAAATTGATTTCACCAGCAAGTGACACCATGATTTCAGGAGTTACTAGCTCCTCGAGGGGGAGTCTGGGGAAATTTGAAGGGCTTCGGTTAATGAGAATACCTGCACTGGTAGAAAATAAGTTTTTTAATAAGTTTCTTTGTAATTTATACAATTTTTTGCAATTTAGTTGAAATATTATTGCAATAGAACTGTTTGATTTTGTTTTGGTTATACACGGAGAGAAATTTTTTAGAAAAATTCTAGTGCTAGCACGGGAAAAGAGGCGCAAAGTGACGGCCAGGAAAAAATTCCAGTGCCGGCACTAGAAATTTTATTGGGGAAAACGTGAATTTTTCCCCGTATCTCTGTGAAAATGTCATAGAAATCCCCAGAAATTTTACCAGAAACACCAAGAAATTTTACCTTAACAACACTAGAATTTTTTACAGCCGGTGGATTGTGATTTTTTCCAGTATTCGGACTAGAATTTATCTAGAATTTCTCTCCGTGTAAAGAATAAATTATTGTCCTGATGAAGGACACCTTGTATGTCCAAAACGTTGGCAGAAATGGAAATCTTTTGGGATCTTCTGTTTTTTATAAATTGGAGTGATTAATAAAATCGTTTTAATGACCGTTAAAGGCTTTCTCAGGCTTTGAAATGATCTCAGGTTGGAGTTTTCTGGAAAGATTAAGAACGGTTGAATGAATTTACGTGCACTGGTAGAAGTTTCTTGAAATTTCAGCCACAGCGTCAGCTGAATTTTCGATGCTGTGAGGTTGAATTCAGTAGCGAAATGGTAAACTGGTTTAAGTCGATTTTGACTATTGACCAGTATTTAGTGAATATCACGGAATCGAAGGGAGATAGCTAAATTTTTGTTAACACCTTTTTTGTAGCACTCAATTTGCTCTAGAAAAAAGGTTATAACGAAAATTTCATTATCTTCTTTAATTCGGAGATATTCTTCAAAAACTCAACTAAGAGATAAGTCGACTTAAACCGTTTTACCACTTTGCTACCGAATTCAATTTCAAATAAAAGCGTTCACTGAGTTTCTCATTCGTCTTGAAAACTCAAGAAAATTGGGTTTTTCATGGTAAATAATGATTGAGTTTTCAATGAAAGCTTGAATTTCCATCAGGACTATGTGATGTTCAATTTTAAGGCCCGGGTGGATTATCTTTCGCTCGTAATCTTGGTTGTTTTTTTTATTTTGAAAATTTGAAATGATCTCCAATTGCTATTCAGTTTTAGTCATCAAACGCGACCCTGAGATTGGTTACTTCCGCGGGGATTCCCCGCCGTGTTGTTTAGGCTTTAGCGTTGCCGAATTCACTCTATACTGCCCGAGCGTATTTAGCGAGTTTTCGGCAACGTCGCACCATGGGTAATTTATTGAACATGGGAAAACAACTCATCTGTCCGAAATGATTTATTTTCTTTAGGAATTTTGGGCAATATGTTGTTCTAAATACTACTATAATTTTTTAGACGCTTCAATTGACAAAGTCAAATTTTTTTTAATTTTTCTGGTTAGTCGACTGTACTTAAAAAAATCCGACGCGCGGCGGAGGTTCCCTCATACGGGGACCAATCTAGGGTTAATTTCTATTAAAAACGCTCTCTGAAAATGTTCAGTTTTTTTTTACGTGGATACGTCTATGAAACAGTCCTTGTGTGGAGCGCCATCTATCGGAATTCTAGTAAATTCTAGATATTTCGAGGTAATTCGAGAAGTTTCTTGAAATTTTGAGAAAATTCAAGGAGTTTCTAGGAATTTACAAAATAAATTATCAAAGATACAGCCGCCTGCAATTTTCTCTACTTTTTTAAATTGTACAGTCATATTTTTTAGGGACTCCTGTGTGATCTAAAATTCAATGGAACTTGGCATATATTTTAAAGACATTATGAAGATGGAAAAACAATCGAGATAACGTGCGAAAGATAATCCACTCGGGCCTTCATTAAAAATTTACAGTTCCATATTATTAAATATTTAATTAATCATCAATTGGAAATTTATATTATCAATTATTTTACCATTTATAAATTTAGATTATTATATTTAAACCTTAATCAATGCAAGTCGGAAATTATTTTAATATTGAAGAATCGGAGGATTGATGACCATCCCTATTTTCTTCTAAACTAATATCGAGAATCATCCCCGTTCCCCTCCTACGTACTTCAAAATCCTATTCAACAATATCCTGTGTCCACCGAGAAAATAAATTATTTTTGCCAAATATTCATTTACTTGAGGGAAGGATTTATTTTTTAAAAATCGGATTTCTCAGTCGAGTCATTCCCAGGCGAGTCTGATTAGATTTCAATTATGATTATATTGTTCTAGAGGATGACTATGTTTCACATGACTTTGGATGAACTCCTCTAATAATTATTCATTTTTCCTAAATTTATTATTTTCCAGAGGGAAGGATTTCGATCAATTTCTTCATGTTGATTATTTTTCCAACCCAAATATCGGGCAATATAATTGGTCCATTCGACATCACGTGGTACAAGCTACAGGGTTTTCAACTGATAATTTTTTGATAATTTTCTCTGGTAGTTGCTATATAAAAAACAAAACATCATGCAGTCGAATTAACCCCTCGTCAAACTGACAGATTGAATTCAATTGTGATAATCCGAGGATTTTTATTCGAAATGAGTAGATTCGGAGTTCATTCCCTGAAAACCATTGATGAAAAAGTAAAAGGGAATATTCCCGTCAATACGGAGAAAACGAAGAAGACAATTTGGAATCAATTTACCAGTTTTTGTGATGAGAGAAACTACACATTGAGTGCTGACACACACATTAAATGCTGTTGTGTTAATTATACAATTTTCGTTTCTCAATTGTGAGTTTCGTCTCATGGTCCAATTATATTGCCCGACATTTGGATTGGAAAAATAATCCCCCGAATACCACACGAGTTTCAAAATTAATCGGGCATTTTCCTCAAGGTTCTCTGCATACAAATGAAGTCAAGTTTTTCAGGAAAAATCACTCGTGCTTCGCAACAAAATACCTGAATAATAATACCCGATAATATCCGAAAATACCCGATAATTTTGAAGTTCTTGTGGTATTACAAGTGATAATTATTGAAGGAGTTCACTCAAAATCATACCTAACATGATCATCTTCTAGAGCAATGTAATTGGCATAATTGAAACCTAATGAGGATTGCCTGAGAATGACTCGAATGGAGAAATATAGCATTGAAAGAATATTTATTATTTTTTATTTATTTATTCATCTTTTTCGTGTTACAAATGTTTTTCTTTGTTTTACACCTATGTAGTCCTCTTCCTCTCCTTAATAATTGGTTTGCTTCAGTTATATAAAAGTTATTCTATGTTAATTTTCTTTTGCCCTTTATTTTAACTCGGCTTGAAGGGGAGACTACTGTGAGTTTTAAAAGTCGTGGATTATTGGAGCTAGCTCACTTTTCATACGTTGAGGATCGATTATATAGATCTGAAAACGAATAATTAGTGCAAAAAAAAAATTTTTATTGCTCGTTTGCCCGAAAACGCTTAAAATACCAAAAACAATCCAGGGCCTCCAATTTTTGAGCTACGAAGGATTTTTTTTTTTCAAAATTTGCGGAAAAATATGTGGAATAACAATTACGAGCTATTTTTTCTTAATTCGACTCTTACATGGCTAAATTTTTTTTTTGTATTTTTTTACACAAATAGTGGATTTTTTATATGAAAAAAACCGAAATCAGCTGTATAGGAATCGCATTCCAAAAAACTGACTCGTAATTGTTGTTCCACACCTTTTTCCGAAAATTTTGAGAAAAAAATATCTTTTGTAGCTCAAAAATTAGAGGCCCTGGACTGTTTTTAGCATTTTAAGCGTTTTCGGGCAAACGAACAATAAAAACATTTTTTTTTGCACTAATTATTCGTTTTCAGATCTATATAATCAATGTTCAACGTATGAAAAGTCTCACTCCAATAACCCATGACTTAAAACTCATAGTGGTCTCCCCTTAAATTAGTAAATATCTAGTATCACTGTTAGTCCTCACGCATTGAAAAAATTAATACTTCTCTCAAGTAAATGGATATTTGGAAAAAATAATTTGTTTCCTCAGTGTCGCCACAAGACGTGGAACGCTATATAAACTCGGGCTTTCAATGAAAAATGAAAAAAAAAACAAATTGAATTAAAGTAAAATTAATTTATTAAATTGGAATTTAATCTACGGAAGAATCCATCAAATTCAGAAGTAAAATTGTGAAACGAAATGTCGGAATTTTGAAAAGGACCTTTCACTCCCCTCAGCCTTAAGGGTCGTCACGACAATTCTCCCTTCGCCCTTAAGTATGAAGATATTCATCAAAAACACCGCTGAATTGATTTTTCCATCAATCTAAGACTCGCGTTATGAATTCAGGCGCAGAAGTCTAAGCTTCCGGATGTCCTTGTGGAGCACAACTCAGTGATGCGAGGGGCAATTCCGTGTCTTCCGGTGCCACTAGCATGGTTCTGCCTCGTTTGGAACGTTCTCCTACCAGGAACTGGTTAGTAAAAATACAGGAAACAGTGCATTTTCGAAGCTTCGTTGGAAGAAATGAATGGGAAATAAATAATTTACATTATAACTGTAGTCGTTGAGATTGAGATTTATATAATAAGAGTCTAGGCTTTTGAGTGGTGTTGAAAGTCTTTATTCATTTTTAAAAAATAGAATTTTTTCATGTTCAATTGAATTTAACACTGATTTGATTCCATTCCTTTCTTCATTTTCATGATAAAAAAATTGATTGCAACAGCTTTGGGACAAGGAAATGAACAAATTTTGTTATGAACGGGTTTTTATGAAATTTATTTCCGAATTTATTATCAACCTGCTAGAAGACTTCAAAAATCAAAATGGATAATACAGTAGAGGCTTCGTATAAGATACCTCGCGCTCGGGGCCTACCCCCACTCTCGCCTTCGGCTCGGCCTGTAAACTACACATTCGTTGAAAACGAAATTCGTGCCCTTGTACTCTGATGTACTATTTACAATAACTTGAGTTCTACTCATCCGATTTCGAGTTATTAGGTATCAAAATTTTCCATTTTTCACCACGTATAAGAATGTTTCTTGTCCAAATTTTTTCCAATCTCTAGATGCTCGAAATAACGAATTTTTGAAAAAAAAAAGTTGAAAAACTTGAATTTGGCTAATTACGTCACGATTGATTATTTTATTTTTTTTCAGTAATTCCTATAATCAAAACAAAAATTTTGAGCCGTCATACATGTTGGGTTTCGTCTTAAATCCATTTTATTCCCAATTTTTTATTCTCAAAATTCCGCGAATTCTTGACTTGGATCATAAGAATCTTGAAGAATTGACTTGGATCATAAACATTATGGAGTAAATTTGAATATATACCTATATATTACATATTTTTTCGATACATAATTAAAGTCGTTCTAAGGTGTTTTCACTAAATTTTCGCAATTTTAAATAGAAAAAATTAAAAAAAAAATAGATCCTGGATGGAACCCAACATGTATGGCGGCTCAAAATTTTCTTTTTCATTATAAGAATCGGTGAAAAAAAAATTAAAATAACCGTGACGTAATTCGCAAAATTCAAGTTTTTCAACTTTTTTTTCGAAAATTCGTTATTTTGAGCATCTAAAGACTGGAAAAAATTTAAAAAAAAACATTCTTATAGGTGCTGAGAAATGGAAAATTTTGATTTCTAATAACTCGAAATCGGATGAGTAGAACTCGAGTTATTGTAAAGAAACGAAACAATTTGAAAAAAATCATATTTCCGAACTGGGCTGTCAAAAAAATCAGAAAAAATTTGAGAGGGTGAGGGTTAGCCGTTCACTCATTTGGCATGGAATACTTCATGTAAATTGATTAGTTATCGATATTCATTCAGTAAAAATGAAAATTTCATTGAATTCGGGTGCCACGAGCGAAGTATCTTATTTGAAACCCACTGATCTCTATTTTTCTCCTGTCTATGAGCGCACGTATTACAAAATAGTATATTTTGATTCCAGTGCGTAATAGTATATTTTCCACCAAGGGAAGGAAAATAAAGGAGTCGTGCCTTACCCACGCGCAGAATTACACATGGGTAAGGGTCCTTTATTTCCTCCCGTGGTGAGAACGTTATTTTTCGTCACGGCGTAGGCGGAAAGGCAGATTGTCCTTTTCGCCCGCCGTGGCGAAAAAGTGTTTTTTGACCCTTCGGAGGTGTGTCATATGACGGTTAGATGACGAGGCGTTCATGACGGCTGTCACAATTCCCCCTCCTCTTTCTGTGACCGTCACAACTTGTCAAGAAAAAATGACTATATATAGATGAAACTTTATTTTTTTCTCGGTCAATTTTCAGTTGAATTCCTTTTGTATTGGCCTAATCCGCATTTTGAAATGGAAATCACGTTTTTTTCCATCTATATAGATGAAACTATTTTGTTTTATTCACGACCGTCACAAATTGGAAATTAGTTATGACCGTCATTATGCAACTATATAGATAGTTTGACAACAATTTGGTTACAAATGATTTGTGACAATCATTTGTAGTTGGAAAATTTGTGCGTCACATGACCGTCATTCTTTGGTTATATGACGCGATCTAAAAAATGACGGTCATTTTGCATCTCTAGTGCCACCCTCCCAAAGGTCAAACATTTTTTCCACGAGTGTGGAAAGTGGGATTTTGCGCACGCGTAGCGTGCGTAAAATTTCACTTTACGCACAAGTGATGAAATAGCATGTTTCGTCAATAGACCGCAAAAAAACTTTTCTGGCGAATATGAGTTTGCAGCCCGAGCCGAAGGAGAGAGTTGCAATCATATGAGCTAGAACAGTTTTTTTAGGCCGTATGTCGAATGATTTGTTTTGTCATTGCGGTCGGAATGACGAAAAAAATGTTTTGAGTTCTCTCGTTTTTGGATAAACAACCTAAACCGTGAAATGGTCTTCACAGGTACTGTTTGGAGCGGTCTGTTTAATTTATGCGTCGGACAGCCTCGTTTCGCCCAGACTGCCAGTGGAAAGAGTCGATTCGGCGCTCTGATTGTCAACATCATTGTGGGAGCGAGCCAGGCTTTCACCGTATTATTTTGCCTCGTCGGCTGGGGGTGGAGCATCTGGTGGGCCGTTACGATGATTCGCTTAGCGAGTAAGTCATTAAAATGCTAGCCATTAAAATAAATCCCTGAAAAGTGGAAAAGCGGCTCTGGAAAATGTAAACGTGAAGTTTACATGGGGGAATTTTATACGAATTTCACGTTCTGTGTTTGTTTTAATGAAGGAAAGTGGAAGCGATTCAAAGCCGCTGAGGCAACGAATGGTGATCCGGAGGCTCGTGGTCCAGAGGGTGTCTTACCTGCGCCTGGTGTACCCACTCAAGCACTCAGAGGCGTGGAACGGGCTCGCTGAAGCCTTCAAGGAACAAAACAACAGAACAGAACAGAACAAAACATTTCACACTTCTTCCGTCAAGCTATTTCTATGCTTTTTTACGTGAATATAATATTTCTGTCGTGAAGTGGTAAAAGGAGATTCATTCGCAAAACCGTTTGTTCAGACCAAACAAATTTTTTCTGAATTCAAAAAATCGTTATTTGACTCGAAACAACTGCTGTACAGGATCAGTTGACGACAGATTATTTGGAAAATATCGTGGAAATGAAAATATTCATGAGAATTCATCACGAGATCTTTTTTTAGTATCTGGTACTTTCTGTAAAAAATCGTTTGCTCATGGATTTTTTTTCAAATTTCTTCGCTTTTGAGAGAGTCATTAAATACTAAGAGTAATGAAGGGGTGAAATGAGATGAGTCAATTCCGCTTCGAGACTAGTGCACATAGAAAAATGGTTTATTTGAATTACATAAATTTTATTTGAATTAAATAATTTGTAATTTTTTTTTATTGAATTAAATAGATTTTATTTGAATTAAATTATTTATTTATTTAATAAGTTATTTAATTCAAATAAAATTTATTCAATTCTAATAGAGGATTTACTTGATTCAAATAAAGTTTATTTAATTCAACTAAACCATTTTTCTAGGTTTATCGGTGATGAGGTCTCTAAGATAAATTGGATGAATTCGATGTTCCTTCGGTCGATGATTCCCAATTTGTTTGTTACCCGGCTGAAAAATTAAAATTGTTATTAACACTAGGCGTGGTATTCTGTCTTTGCGAAAAAAAATATATATATTTTTTCAATCAGTTGATTTATCGAAATTTTGCGTAAGATAAAAATTATCCTGGACTAGAGCGACATTTTCCGGCTTAATTTTTTTTTTCGTATGTACCATAGGTTGTGAGATAACGCAACCTATTAATTGTTCAATTGTTTTAAACAATTAAATTGTTAATAATAATTGAGAGGCCTCGAGAGCATGGAAAGCAGTTATTGAAATAGTCTTTTCGATATCTAGAAGTTGACGACAGCAGTTGTGCTACTTGGCTTATCCTACTCCATACAAGCCCACTCCGGAAAAATGTTGAGAGCGAAGATGATTACGAAAATTCATTGAGAACTTTTCTGTAGTCCTTCAAACTCCCTATAAAAAAGATCTTATAAACTTTCATTTTTCACTTTCTCATTTTCAAGATATTTTCAAAATAATGTCAGAGATGAAGTAGTAAAACGTAAAAGAACAAGTCAACTCTTCACATTTCGTTGAAGATTGACTTGTCTCCATAAAACGTGATGGAAAATGTCAAGTGGCACTTTTTGTTGGAAATTTTATCATCTCCAACAAAATTACTTTAACATGTCCCTCTTCATTGGGGGTCCTGCAGAATTTTTTATTGCTGAATAGAATAATTCAATGAAAAATATCAGACACGCACTTCCAAATTTTGATGAATAATGAAAAAATAATAAGTAACTTCTTGATTTTGAAAAATGAAAAAAATGCGTTTCTAACGTTTTCCATCGAACTTTCGTAGAGGGGGGTAGGCAAAATGGATATTTTTAACATTTTTCCAATACTAGCGAACGATTGGTTTATGCTATATTATTTCAGTCTATTTTTTCGGCTGTTCCGTCTTCAGGATTCGATTAATTTACTTCGATTCATTCTTATTCTTGGTATGTATATTTTTGGCAACTGTAAAACTGCATTTGTTACGGCCCTACCGACGAATAAACCCCTACAAATGTCTTTTCAAATAATGAAAGAATACCCATCAATTTGATTTCTAGTCTTGTCTTTTGATAGAATGATGAATGTAATGAATGTCATTGAATAGCAAAAATCACGAATTGGAGACTGAAGATTTTTAAAAAGGGATAATCGGTTAGAAAATGGAAAAATCTGTTTTTCTTCATTTCATTAGCGAAGTGGTAAAACGGTTCAAGCAGTGATCGGCATCAATCATTATTCCAGAAATATTAAGAAAATTATTTCCCCAAAATAACCGAATTCATTAGTTTATCATTGGAACTTAGAAAATAATAAATAATTGAGATTTTAAATTTTTTCAATAACTATTAGGTAAATAATTGGAAATTTTCAAAAAATATTAGAGATTATCAAATAATCATCATTCTTCCGAATTCGATTATTGATTGGTACAATAATTCGGAATTTAAATATTTGATTGTTGATTAATTTAATAATTGAAAATTGTTGAGTTCTATTACTTGATTATTTATGAAATTAATGGTAATGATAATTTATGATTATGCCTATCTCTGGGTTTAAGTCGACTTATCTCTTAGTTGACTTTTTGAAGAATATCCCCGAATCTAAAGGAGATAATGGAATCTTCGTAATAACCTTGTTTGAAGCGCAACTAAAATTCCAGAACATTCTGGTCGACTAGCTCGGCCTACTTCGAAAATCCCCGGGACCCTTCGGATCATCAGTCATAAGTGACCGGAACACGCACGAATCAGTTTAGGCTTAGCCTCTCACCGTATAAGTCTATCTCGAGCAAATCACCTGTAGACGTCGTATAGTATCAGTATAGTTCCGATCAGTACATCAACTCAGTTCATTTATTCAGTTTTATAAATTTAGCCTAGAGTCAATCAACGCAGTTGAATAATTATCAGTATAAATTCAGTAAATCAATTAACAACTTTTTGAGACATTCAACCGTGTATAAAGTGTACATATTTTCAGACTTTGGTGGCTGTTGGCCACCAATAAATTGTGACTTTAGAAAACTCAGTATTTTTTCTTTCACGGCTCATCCTACTTTAACTATCCTCTAACACCTCCCACAATCCACCCAATTTACAGATCCTCTCCTCAAACAAACCTTTTTTCTAGAGCAAATTGAGTGCTACAAAAAGGTCTTGATAAAAATTTAGCTGTCTCCCTTAGATCCCGAGATATTCACTAAAAACTGGCCAATAGTCAAAATCGACTTGAACCGTTTTACCACTTTGCTACTGATTTGTATCGGTGGAAACTTGAAATTACTGTTTTTTCTCCAAATATGGGAAGGATATGAATATTTTCAAGTTTTATGATCTCATTTTAACGAGAAGAAATTAAAAATGCGAAATAACGTCGGCGCATTTTTCAATGTCTCTGGAAAATTTTAAAATCGATATATTTTTTCGAATAATGAAAGAATACGCATAAATTCGATTTCTATCCTTCTTCTAATCCTAATGGCTTTATCCTCTCACTCTTGTAGAGGCAAGTGCCAATGATTTCTATCCTCATCTTCCGACAGAATAATTAGAAGAAATGACGAAAATTAAGAATTGGAGACTCAAAATTTTATGTGATTATTATTACACAATAATTCATAACTCAGTAACAAATTTATCAATTGAGGTGACTCTAGGTTCATCGCAAAGCAGAACAATTGTCCTGTCCACGAAAAAAATTATTCCATTTCCGCGAAAACTAACTGAGCCATTAACATTTCAAAAAGAGTCAAAAGTCTCCATTTTGTCCCACTTGTCCCTATTTCCTCATTTTATTCAGTAAAAAATCCTCGTCACAACCCAATTCTCTCGCTCTCGAGATGAATGCAAACTTAAGCGAATGAGATCTGATTAAATTATCAATTGATTTGAATAAACTCGTCCTCATTTAAAGCCTGAAAAAAAATCACTTCACTTGTAATTCATGAAAGTATCTCATCTCACCACTTCACGACTAATTCGTTGCTTTCAGTGAAAGCATCTCCTGTAAATAATCAAAGTGCCCTTGACTTTTTTTTACAATAATCTCAACAAAAAATACCAAGAAAACAAACACACGCTTGATATTATCATTTCCTAGTGAATGAAGAATGATGTATCGTGTAGGTAAATCTTGTAAATATTTGTTAAAAAAAAGGAATAAACGAAAAATTGAATAAATTCAGTTGCAGTTATCGAGAAAAACTCTTGAGTATGAATAATCATTCCTGTTGGTTATCATGTGGGTGTCAATTAATGAATATTAAGAGTATGTATTACATGTTTAATGATGTGATTTTTCTCCATTATGTTAATTATGCACAAGTATATATTGTTAATATAATATGAATGTTACAGTGTATATGTTGGTACGGTTGCATGTTCATAGTACTGATTATATCGTCTTTAAAACTTATTGTTTAGACACACAAGAATAATAGTTGTTCACTAGTCGCTAGCAGCTAAAGCTTCATTTGCATTTCGTCATTTATTTTTTGTCCTCACTTTTGTTGTTTCTCCCTTGACTATTTCATATTTTTGTTGAGTGTCACTGTGTAAATGTCCCTTCCATCATTGATATTCAATTAAATATTTGGCGAGTGAGTGTAACGAGTGGTTAATAAATGCCAGATGAATGGTCACAGAAATGTGTTAATTCGTAAATAATAAACAAATGCGGATAAATCAAATCATCAAATCAATGGGAAGTAAAAAGTTCACAACGATGATAAATAAGATAAGTGAATCAATCGAGGATTAACTTCACCTTTTTATGCTCATTCAAATTATTATATTGTATATATATATATATAATTTTTGTTCTTCGTAAGTTTTTACTTCATTCATGTATTTTTTAGTCACCTAATCCATAGGTATACATTTCTTTTAATTCTTGGCAAATCCGAAAAAAACTGTTTCCAAAATAGGAACAGATCATTGTGCTGACTATGTATAGAAGGTGCAATTCTCATTACCTCATCAGTATCTTTTTCTCTCTCTCATCATCATCTCCCTCGAGAACACAATTTCCTCAGTATTTCTTTAATCTCATTTTCAGTTTTTTATTCCTTCAAATCCCCCTCAATCTCTCGCTTCCTCTCGTAATTTATTCTCGCTCACTCGCTCAAGTATTTATTTCATTTAAATTTATTATTTTTACTTTTACGTTTTTTTTTTCATTTTTTTTTTTCATTACTTGAATTATTATTTTTTCTTCTCGTCTAGACGGTGGTACACTTGGTAGGGTGCTCAGGGCTGCTAGGCACAGATAATTGACTCGCAAATAACTCTTTAAACAACATTAGAGCGTACGACATCCAGTACAATGCAACGTACGTATATGTATTTATACAATTTGTTAATTTTTCATTTTCAAATTCATTAAAATTTTCATTTCAATTTTTGGGAGATGTATAAATATATATACATACACACATTAATCCAAAACTTTTTTTATTCGTAGAGTTAATTAATTATTATTAATGCATCGCGCAATTGTTAGTGAAGTGACTGTGTTTATGCTTTTTTTTTAAATCTCAGTAATGTCTGAAATTTCATTAAAATCATTCAGTGAATTTTAATTAATCATTTGTTCCTGCATTGTTGAAGTGTTTTTCTGTTCTCTTATCTCGTCATTATGAACTATATGTAATATGTATGAGCGAATTGTTATTGTACTAAATATAAT